GAGGCCTTCAGAGAGCGATTTTCTGGAAAACTAGTTTTTCAGAAACTCTAAGAAGTACACTCTAAAAAAAAATGCGACTTAGGATCAAATTAAGTCGCATTAATGTGCCTTATTCTGTGAAAATAAGACACATTAATGCGACTTAATTTGATCCTAAGTCACATTTTTTTTTAGAGTGTAACAAAGATCTTTCTTAATGAGGCATGATTATAACCCATAAATTTCTGATTAAAATGAGACACCTTCTCGCAATACACGACCTTTTTTAGCAAAAGTATAGAATTTACAAGAAAAGTTCTCAATGTTCATTTTCACCTCAAAGCTACAGAAATAAGAAGAAATAGGCAAAGTAACTGTAAAACATAGAGGTTTAGAAAATTAACTCCGCCAGGCTTACTATGACATGAAAACTCTCAACAGAGAGAATTCATTTAAAAGTCTTCTAAAACGAGTTCGGACTTACACTGTATGCACTTTTGCTTTCTTTTATTTCGTTTTAGAATTCGTCGAAATGATGAAACAAACAAAAAACTACCGACGGGTTAATATTTGACCAAGTTTTCCTCTTTTACGATTTTCAGACTTTTTTGAGTCGAAAGGAACAATAAACTTTTAATTTTTGTATGACGTCTTTCTTTTCTTTTTGTTCCTAAGTGCAAAGTGACGTAAATCGTGTATACTTACCAGAGGTCATCCTTAGACGCTCTTCACAACAACACTAAGTCCATTACCCAAGCATAAAATTTCATAAGAAATAAGCTAGCTGCTCTTGCTGAAGAACCGCCCGCTTCTTCATTGACTGCAGGTAGCTAAAAGAGTAAAATTTAGCAGATGTAGCCAGAGAGATACTGTTTATATGAGAGTTTTTAATTATAACAATTTTTGAAGCTCTTCTCCTAGATTCGATCTGCCGACTTTTCATACGTTGTGCTTCTCCAACTGTGTATTTTCCCATTGCACTAAACTGTGCAGAAAGAAAACTACTAGTTATCGGCATTTATGCATAGTGTAACATGTGAGTGATCACTTGTAAAAGCTACTTAAGGACCCCCCTCCCCTCAGAAATTATCTCCGACACCGTGCATCCGATCTTGATGAAACTTTCCATAAATGTTCGGCACAATGAGTTACGGGAATGAAAAACGTTTTTTGTCTCCAAGTCTTACGATTTAGGAGTTTTCCAGAGATTAAGGTCCAAAAAGGACCATGAACGGCGTTCCAAGATTTTTTAATATACTTCAAGCTGGAGAGTTCTTTTTTTATTTTAAACTAGACACCTAACTACATCGACTGACCGGCGCCGAAAAATCCTCAGTTTGACAAAAAACTAAGACCTAATTCAAAAATCGACGCCGGTCAGTCAATGTAGTTTCTTTTCCTCTTTAAAACAAAAAAAGAATGAACTCTCTACGATAGACCGCTATTAAAAATCTTGGGACGCCGTTCAGGTGTAACTCTTATATAGAGATTTGATTAATTAGTGAATTGAACTTCAAGAAGTTTAATTAGATTAGTATTATTAGGATTATTCACGATGAAGAAAGCATTTATCAGCGTTGAATCTAGATATAATAATACTTTAATAATAATTGACTTTCCAATACCCTCTTCTCTAGGTACGATGTTCGAAAACGCTTTCTTCATACTGAAAAATCAAAAATAATAAAAAAAATCACATTTTTACCCTAAAGGAAGCTTTTCCTAAATTTGTGTCAGGAAGAAAAAATGTTGAAATTAAATTTTACATACTATTGTCTTTAGGTTCAACTCTGAAAAATACTTCCTTTACGGAAAAGCAAGTTGCTTTATGCGATTTCCAACTAGCCGCAACTAGTTCAGAACCGTGTTAGCCAGTTCGTTAGTAGCGGAAGCGATGGCTGTGGCGCCTGTTCCATCACTCGTACGTTTATGCAGCTACTCGCAACGTGTATCGAAACTAGTGTAGCTAGCTGCAGAGCCCGCTAATCCGCTTCAATATTTTTACATTTTTTTATAGCTAGTTGCAGCGGGTTATGAAGCTAGTGTATGTAGCGAGCTGCAGCGGGGGCTCCTAGCTTATATTTTTATACCGGAGTTCTCTAGTTAGTAACCCAAATAAGATAGTTAGTAACCCAAATAAGATCATCACGAGAACGATTCTGAGATTCAACCAGATTTTGACATGGGTGTCCGTTTACGTATGACTCCTTACGGATAAAAAGAGACTCGACAGTTTAGTAATATTAAAAACTATCAAATATTAATTTGAACTCCAGAGAAATTCGATTTTTTCTTACTTTTACACGTGTTTTTAATCAATAGAAAGTTATGATTCTTTTCTAACTATAATCAATTGCACAGACAGTTGCTGTTGTACTCGTGTTGTAGATACGATATATTAATGCAATATTACATGTTTCAAACATGACACGACATTTCCGCGAACGGCACTACCGCGAAGACTTGTTTGTTAGAAAAAAAGAATAAATGAGCCTGGTTTTGTAGTTTGTATATCATATTTTGAAACCTGAGTGAAGGTATGTGATGAATCGTTATTATGTGCTACAGTTACCTATATCCAGTTTCATTGCTTATCGTATTTGACCGGTTTTTTCTTCAGTACACAATAAACTGAAGCTCACTGTTTATCAACATGGATTTGTATATAATCAAGATTCTTATAGCAGTACAGAACCCGTGACACGACATTACCGCGAACAGGACCCAGACTATTCCACGAATTTTTCATAATACACATTTGGATATTTTTGGTAGTGTGTCGTGGGAAGCGAAACTGTTGGGAGTGTAAGAGAGAGTTCAAAAAGTAGTTTCACATAAAACATATTTTCATGATGCGAAACTGTATATCTGTAACTGTATCGCATAATGACTGTTCACCACATAACTTCGCTCTGATTTCATGTTGTTCGCGGAAATGTTGATGTATCGTTCGAAACTACGAAATCTAATCAGAACGATGGCAATGATCATAAGCCAGCAGACTCAAGAAACGATGTGCACGTACTTATCTTTCTGTCGAGATGCTAAATGATAGTTTTGTGCGGTGAAGATTGATATTGTTCACATCAGATTTATTAATTAGTTTAAACTTTATTTATCACTTCGAAAAAAAAAGAACAGAGAAAATAGAATAAAACAAAAAAAAGTAGAAATGAATTTTAGGCAGTTTCGCTTCGGATGCAAACAAAATCGGCGAACCATTATATTGTTGTGCATAAGAAAAGTGCTGCCGCTAGTGCAGAGACTTACCAGATCTACATACTCAAATTCTGAACATAAAATATTTGGCTGCACAATGCAAACAACGATCTGTTGTTTAATAAAAATAACCACACTGAACTAAAATAAAATAGCTTTAGATTAAACCTGTAACCTTTAATAAATACACTACTGTCTGGTAACATGAACTAAATAAATACTTTGTAAGTAGTTACTTCAATTTTATTTCTGGCAATAAGGATTACAATAAATCTAAATCATTGCCTCTGACGTTATTAGAATACTATTTCATTTTCGTTCAGTGTGGTTATTTTTAACGAACAATAGATCGTTGTTTGCATTTGACAGCCAAATACTTTTATGTTCGGGATTCGGTTATATGGATCTGGTAAGTCACTGCGCTAACTTCTTTCTTTTTTTCTTTAAATTTGTTTTCGCAACGTTTCGACAAAGATTTTGTCATTAAGAAAAACATTTCATCGGTGAGAATAAGAGTGACATGTATCGTGAAGTTTTTTACACTCAATGCAGAGATCTTAGAATGCAACACCAGAACGATTTTTTTAAATGAGCAGTTGTTTATGCTATAACTTACTTTAAACCTTACAATGTTGAAATGATGACATTAAATCATGAAAACGTCAGTTGAAATTATATACTTATCTGAAAGCTTTTGTCTGGAGCTCCATTGCTAAAAATTCATGTTCGAGCAGAGCTAATATCGGCATGGGCTCTGGACGCTATGGCGTGGTCTGTGGGAGCAGGATGGAAAAAACAAGAATTGTATCGGCATGAGACATTATTCTTCAAGTTCAAAAGTAGAACGTTATGCAATGTTGTTCTATGACAGGTAACCGAGGGCGTCTAACCTTCGGTACTATATAAAGTTGCAAGTTACAGCTGTACTACCGTAGGATGCCAATTATCTTCATACAATACCATCCACTATACCTTTCATATCCATGATACCTTAGGCAATCGTATATTCCTCTTCCGCCTACGTATTCATTTGCGTTACGATGTCTATTTGGAATTTAAAAATACTCTTCTTTAATTATAACTGATTTTATCGCACTTACACACACACCTATTCCACTCATCCACCCCAGAGAGCTCCTTATTAGCCTCTTTTTCTCAAGAAAAGAGCTAGCAGAGTGAGTGACTTCCGTCGTAGTAAACGTTTCGGTCTATGGTCTACATCGATAAGCATTTTTCTTAGATTTTCCTTAGACTAAAATAGTATATGCACCATTAGATCTACAAATACATTTTGAATGTGCCCGAACTGTTGTGCGTGATGCTCCGTTTGTGAATTTTAACCGATATATTCTATTACAAAATAATGTCACTACGTATCTGCTTTTTCTCATCAGTTCATTACTTGTGAAACGATGGTTTTTTGTGTGTATTATTAACACATTCACTGCCACATATGCTGAAATATATGACGTGAATACGCCATTCGACGTGCACAGCAGTGAATGTGTTACATATACGTTCTGATTTTTATGAAATAATTTGCAAAATATTAGTTTGTTTGCGATTTTTAATGTTATTGCAATGTTGAACGTACGGACACTTTTAGTGTTCTTGAAGTATAGCTTGGCTCTTCGCAAAATCATTATTTAATAGCACAACTACTATTATCGTTCTTTTATTTTATTATATCCTTTATAAAAACATTTTCTTATTGTGTTAAAAAGCAGAGTATTGAGCGTTTTGCGTATGTTTCACTCTTCTTTCGACAACTAAATATTGTGCAGTAATCACAAATACTTTCTTTATGCTGTTGTATGGGTATCTGATGGAGCAGTTTCGGAAGAATCATCAATACCATCTACCATTTTCACGCTTAGATCCCATAAACGACGTGCACTTTCTGGGTCTACACATTGCGGATTCATACCATAACGTTGTTCTTGGTCAGTTACACCTAGACTAATTGAACAATCTTCACAATATTCACCTTGTTTATCATCCAATTCATGTGATAATGCAACCCATACGGTTGTTGCTGCACCTTGTTCAACCGTTTTAAATTCCATAGCTGGTAACTTTTTGAACATTTCATGATCTTCTGCTGTTAAATGTTTACCTAAACCAGTCTGAATAACACCAGAAGAACTGTTCACAAATAAATACCACCATCACCTTTAAAATTTATACCTCCTTCTACTGTCTGTCAACCATCAGCTTATCTGAGGGTGACAGCTTACCGTACAGAAACCGCACAGAGATTACCATTTTCTCTCTAAAAAGTATATTTTATTAATTCAATATTTGTATGAGTATTTTGAAGATTGTTAGAATAAACTGAGCTTCTATTGAAGGAATCGCATACGAAATAGAAATTCTTTTATATGTAAATAGTGTTGCTTCCATTTCGTAATTTAATGTCTACTTACTTTAAAATCATGATTTCTTTTTGACTTAGCTTCGTTATCTCAAGGATATGCAAGAGTAATCTTTTGTGATTTTTGTACCGTTCGACTTGAGCTCACGGACCTGCCTGCTTCTCCATTAACACTAAACTAAACTTTTGAAAGCTTATGCCGTTTTATTTGGACACTTATGCTAAGACCCCTTTTCTATCTTATTCCTTTAGTCTACAGTAAGCAAAACACTTCGTTTTTGGTTCTTCTTTTCTTAGTGGTTCCTGCATGTTTTTCGTTCTCATGTGAGCCAAACAAAACCTTTTTTTGTCCTTTTGTGCAGCATTTTATGTGCTCTAGATCTGCAATTTTACTTTTGGCTAATCTTTTCCAGTTTCTGTGAAAACTTCGACGAACTCTGCGGTCCTTGAAAAGTGAAAAACCGTGTCCCACACCGTATTGAGTCTGCAGTCCAGTTATTAAGCAGATAATTACTTACTTTTTTGCTAGAAGTTATGCAGAATCATGTGCTATATCCATTAGTGAAAACTGCAATTGTCTAGACTCTTCCATCGTTGCATGATCAACAGTTTATCGACCAAGCCTTCCATGCAGCCCTCGGTTGTCTCATCCCGAATTGAAAATTCAAAAATATCCCAACCTTAAACACATCTCTGAAATGATAGTGGTTAACGCATAAAGCTCCACATTTTCTGATACGTATTTTGACATCCTGAATCGAATGATCAACTCAGCTTTTAGAAAATCACCTTAGCAAAGGATTCCTGTGAAAGCCACATTTCTAAAGATCCAAGCTTAAACCTTGTCAAAAATAATTTTTTAAACATAAGAGTTGATAGAGCATATATGAAAACCTTTGTTTCAATACATTGTTAAGCTCAGTTCATTACCTGGCAAGCAGAGACAATCGTATTTTCGATCCTGAGTAAAGAAGTGAACAACCAGGATTTGGAGAGAGGAAGACTTAGTAGTTTGGAAATCGGGTATTTTATAGACTTCAGAGTACCCTCTGTAAGCCTGTAGTGTTAAAATAATTTTCTGGTCACTTTCATTTTTTCTTGAAAATCGGTACAAAAATCACCAGAATCACTAGCAAATATCTTCAGTATAGAAGAGATAGGAGCATTTAGCAAAAACCCTTGAACAGTCTTATTGAATGTATGAGGGTGTTCAAGTTACAAGTTTATAATTGATCGAATATGATGAACTTTCGTGACTCTCGGCATCATACTGGGTCATGTAATTTATGAATGGTCTCAGGATGTAATGAATGAGCAACCAAACCATCTTTTGCATATAATTCACTAAATCGCTTAGCAAATAATATATTTGCTGTTTTACTTTGTCCATATGCTAACCACTTTTCATATGACTTCTCAAAATTAATATCATCAAAAACAATTCCACCACGCTTGTTTGCTAATGAACTAACAACAACAACACGTGCAGGCTTACTTGCCTTTAACACTGGTAATAATAACATTGTGAGTAGAAAATGTGATAAAT